CTCGCCCTAGGGAGAGACGCGTATACATACGTATGTGCACGCGCGCGAAACAGATGGCGAGCTCGGACGCAATCCCGTGCCCCGCGGTGAGATAATGGACAAACGCCATGAGGCGTCTACTACGTGGAGAACGTTGCGAAATCGTCGTCGGAGAGAAGACGGAGTAGAAGAGCGCCGCCACTCGTGTGAGTCAGATTTCGTGGGTTCTATATTTGTGTCTATATAGGAGTGTGTCACGGATTTTCTTCCCGAGTAAGGGAGAATATGCTCTCTTTCGTAAATGAGGAGGGGAGGGAGGGGGGGGAAGGGGCCCACCACCGCCGCGAAGACCGTTCGATTTTGTTACGTAAATGTTGCATCATTGCGTCAATTATTTCTTCTTATCTTCGATATTGCCACAGGAAAACGTCTACCTTAGAAGTCGGGCGCTCTCCCGCGCGGAAAACGATTATCTATACCCGGTAATTAAAGCGCATAGGAGTATACAGAATATATACGGTGGTTCACCGTCAGAAACTGCAGCAGTCGAACAGGTCATGAAGATAACACGAAAAAGAGTCGAGGATATATAATTCGAGCGAATGCAATGGGCAATTTTTAATTAACAATTTTCATCAAAAGTTTTATAGTGAATGTCTGGACGGAGAGAATTTCCTTTTAAAATTTACCCTGAAAATCATGTTAATTGTGAGATACAATATAGTATTTAGGTAAATTTTACTGTGCACTACAATAAATTTTACTGCGAAATCTTATTGTAGTGCACAGTAAAATTTGCCTAAATACTATATTGTTCCATAATTAACATGATTTGCAGGGTAAATTTAAAAAAAAATTCTCTCCGTGGGGGAGACATTCTATCATTCCAGACGTTCTTTGGAGAACGATGTTCTTAAAACATCTTATATATCGTTTAGCGCATCAGCGAAGTGCAATTATAGTTCGCTTAATTTCTAAAGTCAGAACTGTCGATGGAAGTCGCTTAGCTTTCAATTCGTGATTTATTTTGTCAGGCAGTCGCAACGCGTTCGACTAACATCCGAAATGTGTTCGGAATGCGCGGAAATCCCGCGTCGTCGCGAGATCTCTTCTCTCCAGCGAGTCTCTCGCCATTTTATCGCGGCGACGGCGCGGCGCGGCGCCGCGGGACCGCGCCGCGGAGTCGCGCGTGTTCGCATCGTGCGGTGGTCTCTTCCTTTCTTCCCTCTTCCTTCTTTTTTTTCGTCGGTTCCCGTCACGCGTCTTCCCGATGACACATCGACCGATCGTCACCTTGGCCGCGCGAAATTCCACAGGTTTGAGCCAGGTGATCGGAATTCGAGTCTCCGACGCGACGACGGGCGGCGGCGCGGACGGCGACGCTTTCGGGGATTTAATCCGGGGATCGACCCGGGCGCGCGTTGCGTGCTGCAACTACCTAATCGACATTACGGTACCTCGGAGCCATATACGAGGAGCTCTCTTCGTGTTTCGTTACGCGCCGAGTGCTATAACGATTAAGTAGCGGTACAGTATTGACTTACATCGGGGCGGCACAGCGACTTTTACATCGTACGGTACGAGGCGCAAATATCTCCGGAATAATTCGTGGTATGTACAGGCGTGTACAGTTAAGTTCGTCATTATTATTGCAAGATACACGGAAAGAACGATTTTGTTGAAAGATCTAAAAATTTTGTTAAAAATTTTTGCTAAAAACAGATCTGAAAATAATTTTTTGTTGAATCATCAAAATAATTTGTTGGAATGTTAAAACTGATAAGCATTGCTATAAAATGTTTTGATATTTTAGCAATTATTTTGATTTTTGCACAAAATTATTTTGATTATTGAACAAAAATTATTTTCAGATCTGGATTCAGCAAAATTGTTCTTTCCGTGTAGAGTAAACGTGTCGAGCGTGCGTAAGTGGGATAAAATTCAGAATTGAAGAGCCTATACTTGATCAAGAAGCATCTTAAATTTTCACTTTTAAAAAGTGGAGATTATTGCTTACAGGTCTTCGTAGATAACTACGTAAAATCTTTGCGAAATTTTATATTTTTTCACGCGTTCGCCAATCAACTTCTCATTTTAATTGGAATTTTAGAGACACGCTACACAAAATTATATCGCTTAATTAATATATTCATTTCGGCGATGTGTAATAAAATATTAATATTGCACTGAATAATATATTAATATTTCAATATGTATTATGCACGCGCGTGTATTGAAGATGTATCTTGCATAATAAAATGTAAAAGTAAATCGCCGAGCGTTTTCGCGCGTAAGTGTTACGCTGACCAATTTCTCGAGAGAGAGAGAATCGCCGCCTATTTTTTCCCTCGTTAATATACCGCGGCTATAAATAAAAGATCTTGCGCGAAAGAAACAGCCGTGAAAGCCAATTCGGACACTCGAGTCGTAGTCAGGCGATACGTTTAATAACAACACTTTCACGATGCTTCGGAGCTCATCGTAAATCAACCGTACTCCACCTGCGCTATCGCCCCGTTGAATCTCCGATTCGTCCACTTTCGCATAACTTTTTGCATTCTAGGGCGGGGCGATTTCCTTAACCTATTTTCTCGCTTTTACATTTTTTCCCCTTTTTTTCGGCTTAGTAGTAGGAGATCCGCGGCGATACAATCTACGAAATTAATCAGGTCAGATCGAGTGTGTATACACGGCGCTTCACACGCAATCTCTCGACTCTCGACGATGCGGTTCTTTTTTTATTTATACAGAGGCATCTTGATTATGTCCCGTTTCTCATTTCCTCTCGCTCGTTTCTAGCATTGAGCGCCTCAATTAAATTGCAAGTTAAAATAAGGTCAACTCGCGATAAAAAATCGTGGATCCCTCCGTGGAAAAAATATCATTTGGATTAGCGAAAAAACTATAATTGGAATACATGGAGTATATAATATTGAATTTGAATAGAATTTTTTCGTAAATCCCACGGAGAGAATTTTATTTTAAAATTTACCCTGAAAATCATATTAATCATGAGACAATATAGTATTTCGACGAATTTTATGTGATTTTCATTCTATTTTTTTAATAATACAACAAATTTATTGTAGTGCACAGTAAAATTTGCCGAAATACTATATTGTTTTATGATTAATATGATTTTCAGGGTAAATTTTAAAAGGAAATTCTCTCCGCGTGGCAGTTTTTTTATTCTCCGAAAGAAACGTAATCATCTTTGCAAGTTGCAACAGCTTACAATTCGAAAATGTTATGATTAATGAAAGTTCTCCTCGTGAGAATCGGTCAGTTGTTAAATCATAATCGCGGTTTACAAGAAATAAATTAATCTTCGACGATCTGTACATAGATTATGGTGAAGGCACGGGAAGATTTAACCCTTCCGCGTATACTTTCAAGCGTTACACCGTCCCTTTTCGAAACGTATCACATAAACCACCGTGAAAAACTATCGGCTATTCGCCGGCCGAGGAGAGACTTCAACGCCGTGGAGAATAACGAAACGCGACGTGCGTGTGCGCGACGCCGAGGGCGAGGATCAGCTGAAATGACGTCACGTCACGGAGCCGGATACAAGTTCCGTCGTGCGGGCGCTCACGCACACGTGCCCGTGCCGTCGAACATGTCCCGTAAATCGCACGGCGGCGATTTCTTCTCTTCTTTTTCTTCTTTTCTCTTCCTGTCGTCCTCGCCACCTGAGGCATTATTCGCGCCGCGAGGAACGTGCAGGAATACGGCTGATAGCACAGCGCGCAGTGTGATATCGACGCCCGTGCATAGCCGCGAATGCCGATGGTCGTGTATATGCTTTTGCGCTAAAGCAGCTAAAGTCGCGTTCCGTTCGTGATGAAAATGAGAAAACGACGATGCTAATAATGAGGGAAGGGGAGAAAGAGAGATGTATGTATACATATATATATACACACACCTTACAGTTGTCGAAGCATAGTCTCTCCTTTCCTTCGCGCCTGATGACTGCGTACTTTGAAAGTGCTGAGATGCAAAACTTCTCGCTCGTCCCTTCGGCTTTTGAACTGTAAACGAAACTTGAAAAGTTAATGACCGCGGCAGATAAAACGCGCGAGATTGATAATATACCTAATTCTCCTTCTCCGCAGCAAACGGAGAGAATTACTTCTGCGTATTCAGAGAAGCGTGACGAGAGAAGTGTCCGATAAGCGTGTAATTGACGACTCTTGAATCTACCGACGAATTTCCATTGAATTCTTAAATTTGCGATAAAAGTTTTCTCTTCTTTTCGAACGAGAAAATCCCGCCTGAACATTCGCGAGGAGAGATTAAGTGAGATTACACGGTGAGGATCGTTTTTTCCTTTCTCTGCTTTCAGATTGACTATCAGGACGCAAAATGGTATCGAGGCGGAAGATACTTTCGCGTTCGCGAGATAATCTCGTGGAGTCGCAGTACGAGGATCAGGACGAGGAAGACGTGTGGTATAACTTGGATAAATTGTACAAGGTAAATATTTATTAGTCTCTTGTATTAATTTTTTTTTATATAACTATTATAATATTTATTTAGATATATGTTTATTATTTACAGGGTTGGGAAAGTTACTTTGTAAAAGTAACTAATTACAGTTACAGTTACTCAAAAAGTAATGAATCGTTATTTTTAATAGAACAACATTAGCATTATAAAAAAAAAGATTTACATTTACATATTATATAATTTTATTTAAAAAAGAAGAGTAATGCGCGTATTTAAATGTGAGCATTTAAATATTTCGCATAATTACAATCAACATTACGATTAGGTGATTGAGCGAAAGTGTTGCATAATTTTGATCCACGAAAGTGACGATTTAATATATATAAAGTAACTGTAAAAGTGACTATTAAATTAGTTACTAGTTACTTAAAAAATCTAAATAAGTTACACATCGAAAGAAAGTAACAAAGTTAAGTTACAGTTATTAAAAAAAAGTAACAAAATTAAGTTATAGTTATTGAAAAAAAGTAACTTTGTTACTTTGTTACTGTAACTTTGTTACACGTAACGAGTTACTTCCCAACCCTGGTAAAATGTATAAAACTGCAAAATTCGCACTCAGTATTATCCATCATACGTTCCGCTAAATGGTTAACCACGTTAGAAATCAGGCCGTCTTCGGTGGATATGCAATGCAACAGTAGATCGAGCCTGATATCCATCCTCGCCAGGGCGGCGTTTCTGTTCTGCACTCTACAGATGATAACGGCCTCGGAGACTAGATACGCCACGAGATTGAGCAACTGCCGTTCCTCCAGCAGCAGAATATTCTCAGGAACGTAATGCTTCGGCGTGAACTTGTCCCGGCCCTGCCACAGCTTCGGATTGCAGGTCAGGGCCCATAAAAAGTCCAGAACTGCAGTAGGATCGTATCTGCAAACATATTGACAATTTCACAAATATGAAGAGCGTATCGACGATTAAAGTCGATTTTGGAAAATATTACGGGGTTGCCACAAAAAAATGAATTTTGAAATTCCCCGACTTTTCCATGATTTCCAAACAACAGTGGAAAATTACCCATGATCAATATCAAACATATAATTCTAAATCTTAATGTTTAGAAGATACGTATTACAAAAAAAAGGTAACTTATATTATTAGAAGCAACATAAATTTAGAAGTTTAATAACATAATACAATCCCAAATGCAAATTCAGACCAACAAATTATTAACATCGCTTCGACATTGTTGTTATGCATTAAACAGAATAAAATTTCTTTGGTATAATTAAATTTTCCATTACTTGGGAACCAGAAGAAAACTCAGTAGTAAAAACAGAAAAATTCCTACAGACATTTCTTTAATATCGCTAAATATTCAGAATATTTACGATTGCGATAACAGAAAGAAGTCTCGAAGAAAATCCTAATTTTCGAAAATTTTTTCGATTTCCATACAAAATCACCTTATTCTGTTATTATCTACTGTTTGATTCTAAAAAAGGATTTTCAAATAAAAAAAGCAATGCATATAAAAACATTGTACAAAAATTATAGAGTTTCGTCGATAAAACAAGTGATCGACTTTAAGGAAATTGTGAGCAAAGTTCAAAATTCCAGCTCTTTTATTATATCTTTCCCTGACTTTTTCAGATTTTCCCGGTTTTCCAGGTCTGTGGCAACCCTGCGCATTATATTAATCCGTAACAGAGAATATCGTGAAGCAAAAAGAGAGATTGGCGGAAAAGAAGTATTGATTTCCGCTCTACTCACCCGTCATCACATTTGTCTAACAAGTGTCCGACACATTTGTACAGGGTGGTCCAACTTGCTCTGTGCGTCAAGAGCGTCAGCAAGTAAGGTCTGCAGGAGTGCGAGCTCACGACATTGTTGTCGATGCTAATGTGCACCTTCGTCTTCCCGAACAGCAGCTTCATTTGGAGATTCGGACAGATGCCGATCAGCTCGGGCTCCACGGAGGCCAGCCAATCGATCAGCAGACCTGTGCGAGGCTTCAGCGCGCCCTCGTTACTGTCGCTGACCAGCAATCGCGCCATAGCCTCGACCAGGTCGTCGTTCTTCTGCTGCTTCAGACAGAGATCCAGCAGTCTTCGGCCGACGCTCTCCAGATTCACGGGATCCGTGCCCTCCAATATCGTGCCGGGGCTCTCGCCGTGCCGGTTCTGCATCAGCATCGTCAGCTCCGCGCGCTGGGGGGTCTTCGTCAGCTGCACGTTAGCGAAGTCCCGCAGAATCGAGAGAACCGGCGCCTTCACGTCGCCGATCAGCGATATCAGGTTCAGGCACATGTTGCGCGCCAGCTCGATCACGTGCCTCGACGTCGACGGCCGCTTGAGCGGCAGCAGTATCACGCGCATCAGCGTGCACGAGTACTGCGGCATGTGCACGAGCGAGGCCAGGAACTGCTTGACCTGCATCGAGCTGAGAACGCTGCATATGTGCTGTATCGCCAGCACCACCGCGCCGCTCTCCTTCGCGCACGATCGCTGCAGATCCTTCGCCAGGGTCTTGTGCAAACGCCGATAGGCGTCCATCTTCTGGCTCATCGGGATGCCCTCGATGAACAGCCGGTTTATCAAGTGCGGCACGTCGGTCTTCACGGAGCACTGTATCACGGACTGCTTCTGCACCGTCGCGCTGATCGGCAGCGGTTGCTGCAGCTTCCCGATCGACACGGCGCTCTCGTCCGGCAGTTCCGGTTCCAGCAGCTGCAACACCTCGACGAACACCAGTCCACCCGTGGCGCCCCTTCGGTGCTGCACCTCGACCAGCTGCGCCATGTACGTCTTGTCCAGAACCGCCTCGCCGACCGAGCCCGGGTCGATCTGGACGCCGGCGTCGAGCGTGTGAAGCAGCTTGCTCATCGACGACACAGGTATCCCGAAGCTCTGGATGAAGAGCACCAGTTGCTGAGGCTCGAGATCCTTCAGAGCCGCGTCAACCAAGCGCGGCACGTTACTTCGAATCATTCGTAGTTTGAGCCAGTCGGGTATGAGCAGAGCTTCTTCGCTTGTGTCAACGAGGAAGGCCTTCGGCTGTTCCATATTCAGGGGAAACCACGTTTCCAGCAAGCTACCGAACAACGGATCGTCCTCGGACGTGTCGTAGGTGAGTAGTATAATCATGGCGTGCACCACCAGGATGTGCATAGTGCACTCCTCGCCGCTGCTCCACTGGACCAGAATCTGATCTTGGCTCTCAGACCACTGGTAACCTTCGCCCCTGGGCGATCGCGCCTTCTCGAGGTAGTTGCAGAAAATTGCCATGAAGGAGTGCAATGTTTGCTTGGCTTGCTGATTGTCACTTTCAGATTGAGGCAGGATGGCCGCGATAATGGTGCTACGCTCGACGACCAACTGAGATATCTCGTTCGCCAAATCGGTCAGGTCGGGCAAATCGTCGTCGACGGTATGTACGGCCAGATACGATATGTAAGTGTGCACGAGATCCGGACTGTTCTCAACCTGGCAAGCACCACGTAGAGCAGTAGAAACCAGCGAACGTACTGATAAGAAGTGAGGTATCGACGGTAATTTTCGTAGAAGCCAGGTCTCCCTAAAAAAAAAAAGAAAATAATGTTATAAAAAGTGCAAGAGCTTTTTTTCCGGAGAGGTAGGGCTGGGCAAAATGCATCATTAAAGTACTTAAAATACAAAGTACTGGTAATCTTAGTATTTAAATGATAATTTTGTAAATTTTTTAAATCAATTTTTGTCAATTTTTTAAATCAAATGATTAAAAGTGTGTTTTATATTTACCAAATCAATCTTTTTTAATAAATCAATCTTTTTATAAAAAAAGTTTGTTGATTTAAATTACAAAATTGTAATTTAAATACTAAGATTGCCAGTATTTTGTATTTTAAATAAAAAAAGATTGATTTGATCAATATAAAACACACTTTCAGTCATTTGATTTAAAATACAAAATACTTTTAAATTATTTAAAATAGAAAATACTTCTGAAATATAAAATATTTTTTAATTTAATCTATTAATTACGATAATATATAATGTTAAATTCCCTCCTCCCAAACAGACCCCTCTTCACTTTCCGAACTTTTAGAGAGAAAGAGAAAGAAATTGTTTCATTCTCTTGCACTCTTAAAAGTTCTGTTGTCCTATACCATCAACCGCACGAGACTTGCTTTCTCGTGCGAGATCATAAAATTTGATAAAGCTAATGACTTGAAATTTGATGAAAATAGTTAGTGTCATCAATAGTCATGTGAAAAAAATTTAAGTTGCTATTAATTGTTAGAATTTTTATCAAAAATTTTTTTAGTATTTTAAACACAAAATAGATTGCAACTGTATTTGAAATTTTTATGCGCTCCGCTGAAATACAAAATACAAATTTCAAACACTGTGTTTCAAATACAAGTATTTAAAATATGCCTAGCCCGGCGGAGAAGTATATTTAAAAACGTACTTTTCATTTTCCCCGTCCACTTCCATACTCTCGTCCTCGAGGGGTATCGAGTCCAGAACCATCTTGAGCCCGGTGATCGCCTGGACCCGGCTGCTACTCTGCTGGCTGCTCAATCGCCTCAAGAAATATTCCAAAACCTCATAGGCGTGCTGCTGATCTTGATTCGGATCGGTCAGCAGTGTCTGAAGATGGGCCAGCAACTGCTGCTGCCTGGGCTGCTTCTCGGCCGTCTGCGAGCTGGTCGACAGCAGATACTCGCAGAGGCATTGCACCGGCAATTGGCTCAGAGATCCCTCGCTGTTTTGCACGAGATCCGCCAGCCAGGGCATGCTCTGGGACGTGCTCTGTTGCTGCCTCTGAATGATGTCCAGCAGGAAGTCTGGTTTGCGCGATCGACACAGCAGATGGCCCAATCTGTGAGACGTATTCAACGACTGTAGCTGCTCGAGTATGTTTAGCGGCGGTCTTCTCGCAATCCCCGTCGGATCCATGGTGATCAACTGCGACAGCAGAAAACTATTCTGCTCCGATAGTTGAATTCTAGTCGACGCCGCGGCCAAATGCGACTCGTACTCCAATATCTGTTGTTTCTCCATATTTTCAACATGCATTTCCTTCGCCCGTTCCTGCTCCATGATCTCCGGCAGGGCCATGGTCGGTGGTGGATATGAGAAGTGACTGCAGGACGAGAGTTTTAGGAAACACGAAGCTAATTGTATGATCAAAATCAACAATCTTTAAGGGGGGATTCTGCTTTACAAGCCTTAAAAAAACGGTGATTTTTAAGAATTTTTTTCAACTAAAATGAAAGTGAATAATTTCAAAAGTTTTATAACAGTGTTTTATTGTATATTTAAGCAATGAAAAATTTTTTTATTAATAAATAATAAAATGTTTTGATAATGTCGCTCCGCTGGAATTGTTCGATTGTGTACAATCTAGGAAGCGTAATTTTTGTCTGAAATAAAAAAACCTAATTTTTTCTTGATTTTTATAAAATTATCTTCTATTATATGAATTAACAAAACTTTAAAATTTTCAAAAATTGAATAAGTTATGACAATTTAAAAAAAGTTAAAATTTTCATGAAAAAATTTGGATTTTTTTTACAAAAAAATCGTTTAATTAAATTTTTTTTGTAATATTGTTAGTTTATATAGAAATAAATATGTAAAAATTAAGAAAAAATTTGGTTTTTTCATTTTAGACGAAAATTACGTCTCTTAGATTGTACACAACTCCAGCGGCGCGACGTTACCAAGACAGTTTATTATTTATTAATAAAAAAACTTTTTTTCACTTCTCAAATATACAGTAAAACACTGTTAAATTTTTGAAATTATTCAATTTCATTTTAGCTGAAAAAAAATCTTAAAAATCACTTTTTCTAATCTTGTAAACCAGAATCCCCTTAATAGTTGTTAAAAACTCACTTTGTAATACACATTTCCATCAGTGTCCTCAATATAGGGTATCGCCTCCAACCTTGCGCGCCAATTGTGGACGGATTGTGTGCAGCCAAAATTAATAACATTGTCCATCCTTTCCAATAGAGATTGGATATCGCCAATGACGGTGGTACATACCTGGAAAACGTATCACACAGTTGCCATTGTAAAGATAATATAAGGTGTCTTAATATTCGCGAATCAAAATATCATAGCAAGAAAGTTTTCGAAAAATTAAGTAAAAAAGTTATTTATAAATTTTTATTTCAAGCAGTAGTTTTTGAGATGTAACAGTTTAAATTTGGCCAATTATAAATTACGGTTAAACGGAAACATGTCCATGAGTAACGTGTCGATAAGTGTTGGTAATCGCGCACTTCATGCGCGTAATCTATAATTCACCAAATTTAAACTCTTATATCTCAAAAACTATTTTTGAAAATAAAAATTTATAAATAACTTTTCTACTCAATTTTTCAAAAACTTTCTTGATATAATATTTTGATTCGCGAATTTTGGGACACCCTGTATACGTGCTAGGGCTGTTACTTTTTACTCACTTCGAATATTCAAAACTTCGACGTTAACTTCGACCTTTCGAAGTTTAAGGTACCTTCGAAGCTTCGAAGTTTTGAAAAATACATTAAAAATTTCAATTTTCTTAATTGAATTGTTTTATTAATTATTATCTTTCCTCATTTGCGCATGTATCAAGTTTAATTATTAATTTGTAATATTTCAGGTTATAATACTTTTAATTTTTTTAGGAATAATTTTGTATATATGTATTAATTCTTTTTATTTACAATATTTGTAGATTTTCTAAATAAATTTATCGTTTGCACAAATGTATTTTTCGAAACTTCGAAGGCACTTAAACTTCGAAGCTTCGAAAGAATTCGAAGATTTTAATGCCGAAGTTTCGAAGTTCGAATGTCGAAGCCTTCGAAGCAAATCACCAGCCCTAATACGTGCGGATACTTACTCAGCGGGTATATTTATTGTCCCCGGTGGCTGATAGATGCAGAGCTTAAAAATAAGGTCGATCAGGTCCATTTTATCGATCTGCAACATCGGAAAGCTCTCCGTCGAGTTGACCGCTGATCGCCGTATCAATAGATCGGCCAAATCCAGAGCCTCCGAATGAGTAATGCCGTTGTCCTGCAACATAAAAAAAAAGTAGAACGAGGCTCGTGATCTCTGAAGGGAGTCGTTTTCGCAGAAAGTCTACGCGCTTACCTTCGAATAGCCGATCATCAGCAGTCTCCACAGCGTACTCTGTAGCAGAGGCACGTCGGACACCAGCCGTATGTAAAACACCCTGTCCGAGTCGGGTGGCCAATTGTCCAGCTTGCAGTACTGCTCGGGCGACTCGAGAAGCATGATCTTGTGCATCGCGTGCAGCAGCTCGTTCCGCCCGACGGTGTACATCTGCTGCGCCGAGTTTTGCAGCCACATCACGGTCTCGTGCTGTATCATCGCCACGAGATGTTGAAACTGGTGCAGCAGAGCCGCGTCCTTCTTGTCCGCGCGCTGCGACAGCGTCCCCGCCTCCTTCACCTGCGGGCTGATCGCCAGGAGCGCGCACAGACAGAGCAGATCCACGATCGACACGAACATGCGATCCTTGAACTCGAAGTTCAGCAACTGCTGAGCCAAGTCCGGCCGCTCGGACATCAACGTCCGCACGAAGGCGATGAGATTGATGTCGTGCCGGCACACCTTCACGATTTCCCTGAGCAGCGCGCGCAGCGGCCGCAAGTAATCCTCGCGGTTCATCAGCAGATCCTGAAAGATCTCCGCGAGCAGTTTCGCCGCCTGCTCGGGCAGGGTCTGAAACATTATGCCCAGCACGGGCATGTTGTTCGGATTACGCGCGTTCGACAGCTCGTTGTAGATCGTGTGCTTCAGCATGGTGGCCAGGTTCTCCGGGTGCAAGCCGATCAGCTCCTTGACGCCGTTCAGGTACAGGTTGATCACCGCCTTCGTCTTCAGCCGCATCTTGACCAGCTGGCTTATGACCTCGACGTCCCGCTGGGTGTGGGACGTGCAATTGTAGCAGATGTAGATGAGCAGCTCCTGCGCGGGTCTCATCAGTTTGGGATTGTGCAGCCACACCTCCAGCCGCGGGACGGCGATGTTTCGGATCTCGACGAAGCCGCACGCCGAGGAGAGCAGCTTCAGGAAGTTTCTCGTTATGGTCTCGGCCTGACGTCTGTTCAGCTGCTCCTTCACGGCCTCCAGCACGATCGACTCTATATTCTCCACGCAATGCGCGTACCGCGGACCCACCGGGAACTCGATTTTCTCCTTGTCCCCGGACAACGATGCCGTTGACGCCGCCGGATCCTCGTCGTCCACCGCAGTAGGGCTGGGACAATCCCGTTGCATCAGTACCGAGAACTCCGGCTGTAGGACGGACTTGGGCGGATGCCTCGTGTTAAAACCCGTTAATATATTGTCGACGAAGCCTTTGCATTCCTCGTGGTCGACCCACACGCGTTCTCCGAGAGCATCTTCGACGTACAGCTGTAAAAATAATAAAAAATCTGTATATATATATATATATAGGTACATATATATATATGTATATATATACACACACGGGATGTTCCAAAATTCGCGAGTCAAATATCGTAGCAAGAAAGTCTTTGAAAAATGAAGTAAAAAAAGTTGTTTGTAAATTTTTAATTTAAGCAGTAATTTTTGAAATATAAGAGTTTAAATTTAGCCAATTATAGATTACGATTAAACGGAAACATGTCCGTAAGAGTGTCGATAGTACTAGTGGTCGCACATTTCGCGCGTACTAATCTATAATTAAAATAAGACTTGCAAAATTTCAATATAAAAGAAGAAAAGAAACGGCAAATACAAGTCAGCGCGGAAATTAATACGCAATAAAATTACAAATGTAATATATTTTAGAAAATACAATTTAATTAATCGATATCGGATCAATTAATTAAATTGTACTTTCTAAAATATATTACATTTGTAATTTTATTGCGCATCAATTTCCGCGCTGACTCGTATTTGCCGCTTTTTTCCTTCTTTCATATTGTAATCTATAATTGGCTAAATTTGAACTCTCATATGTGAAAAACTACTGCTTAAAATAAAAATTTACAAATAATATTTTTACTTAATTTTTCGAAGACTTTCTTGCTACATTTCGATTTGCGAATTTCGGAACACCCTGTATATATATTATAACCATATAAGTGTTGCAATAAATTGAGAGAGGACCAATCAACGAAGATCCTACTATTGACCGTTCATTGGCCTTCTCCCGATAAAAAAAAATCAATTGAGATATCAAAATTATGCAGTAAGCGGTACAAAAAGAGGTCGCGAACAAGTAACCTTCACGAACACTTCCGGCCAGTTCTTCTTGTCGTGGAAACCTTTCATCAAGAGATTCGCAGCTAACACAGGGACCAGCGGGCTCACTTTGGCCTTGTAGTTATTTTGATTGTTCGGATCCCTCCTCAGGAGGGACGACAGCGCGTGTAGTATGCAGTCGTTCGAGAAAATCGACGGGCGGATCTTCGCTAGATACAGCAGGCCCATGTAGAGCAAATTGTCGGGCTTCCATCGCTGATTCTTCAGCGTCTTGATGGCGCCGCATATTATCCCGATAACCCTGTCGCCCTCGTCGTTGTCGTTGGCCTCGAGCGCCATGGGCACGAAGTCCGCCGGGTCGGTGTCTATAATCAAAACCTCCCACGCCTCCGCGCTGGAGGAGGGCTGCCGCTGATGGGAGCCGCCGACGTGGGCCAGCTTGGGCTTCTTCTGCGGGACGTACATAAACGACGATCCAGAAGGAGCCTCCTTCTTTCGTTCATTGCCTGCGTAACAGATTGTAGTAAATCGATCGGTAAATAATTTGCAATCGTGTTGTATAGCCCAGTGAAATGAGAATGGATTGAAAAAGAATTCATGTCAACGTTCGCGAATGCGTACTTCTGAAAATCTGTATTCATTTCAATGCCTTTGCATTTATTTATAGGAATTACATGAAGCGCATTTTCTATGCCATTCAATCCAAAAAAAGTTCAGCTTTTAAAAAGTAAATCGTGAATACTGGTTAATTCAAAATTCTAGACAAGAGAAATGCAGTTTCTTCAATTTAATTAAAGTTAAAAAATATATGATTTACAATGAAATATAGTTTTTCGTGAAAATGAACCATGAACGTTATTCAATTAAAAATTGTGACTAGGAAATGCATTGTTCGATCCACCTAATCCAAAAAATGTTATATTAATATTATATTAAAAATATATTATATTCGTACTATAAAATAGAAATGCATTTAATTCCATGGAGGTCAATTTATTTCAATTCATGAATTTAAAAACTTCAATTTATTTTAATCCTTTCCCGTTTACTAGGATCAACACTGAGAAAAGAGGATAAGTTTTATTTACCAGATGTAGAACTGCCGCTTGGTTTCGAATGGATAACGCCCGGCCTGCCTTTAGAGTCGGAGTTGTCGTTCCGCGAACTCTTCGATCCCAACGCGAACAAATCAGAGGGATGTTGAGCGATCTTATTTTTTGCCGCTCTTCCGAGCCCGGTCTTTCCACGCTCCATAATTAATATTTCGTCTATCTAGATTCTAGAACATAAAGTAGAATAGTAGCTGTAGAAATATATATAATAAATAGAAATATATATAATAAAATAGTAAATAAAAATAGTAAAATAAAAATAGTAGCTGTAGAAAATATCAAAACAGGAATTTTTAAGTATTTTTTATCAAATAAATTTATCAATAAATGTAATAATATAAATATAAATATAATATAAATATAAATGTAATATACAACGTAATTAATAAAAAATAAAAACAGAGTTTAGAGTTTAAGAGTGTCAATTAAGAGATACTTAGGTGACTTGAGTCATAATTTACTGAAAATATATAGACAAGACTGAAAATTCTAACCTAAAATCTCGTCAATGTTAAGAAATTATTTTCACGAAATATAAAATCAACGTCGCCGGCGATGAGGATACATCACGAGGCTGGTATGCATATCGGCATCCTGCAGATAGAGGAATGAAATATTTGTCATGTGTCTAAATAGTCTAAAAAAATCAACCGACTACGATACTACACGTATCACAACGACCGGAGACGTTCCGACACATCGGTCATCGGAACGAACCGCTCTTTGCAGCTGTTGCGCTGCTTACTGCACCACGTTGCACTCTTTAAAGATCCCAATCACGCTATTGCACTTTCTGCACTTGAAACGAAACAGATGTATAAATAGGTATTTCAATAATCACCGACGAGATATTGTTAAAAATTATATTATATTATATTAATATAACATAATATATTATATTATATTATTGTCTTATATGTCTATATGTTAAAAACCGTCAGATCATGCATGCGCGCACGCATACATCTTCTCTAAAAGTTTCATATTTCATTTGTTTGATGTTTATCACCAATAGGACCACCCTGTAGTAAGAGAGATGATATTTTCTCGTAAAATTCATAAACCAGATTGCGATTCATATTACAATAATAAACGTATTCAAGAGTGTATGTACATACGTATATTAAGAGACAAGGACGGAGAATTCCTTATGTTTTCCACAGATCCTTTCCCAGAGATCTTGTGAGTATGAAATTTCACACCCTGAATTTGGGGTATTTAAAAAAAATTTTTTTAATGATTATTTAAATAAGCTAGTTTTTGCGTAATATCGAGACAAAATTAAAAGAAAAATATTCATATTTGTAAAAAAAAATATGAAAAGAAATTAAATATAGAAGTAGAAATATATTTCGACATATAACAGAAGAAATAAAATATTTGTGTTATTATAATCCCCCTTTCCCCAGCTCCCCCCCATTCTTGCTTAGATGAATTATTCCACACCCAGGAAATTCTAAAATCTCCGTCCTTATTAAGAGGGAATATTTTCAGCTGATTCTAAATCCACTACTCTATAAATGTCATTCAATTTTGACATTCCCGTTACGTAAAAGCCGGTCGCGGTTCTCTTCAATTAACTTAACGTTCCAAATATATCCTGCAAAAGTAAATGTTTACGTTACATATATTGAATTAAATAATTATGTATAAGTTTAGACAAATGCATTCATTTCAGAAACCGACAAACTCTTAGCTGTTAATAATTGTCTAACCGGCTGGCTTGTCTTAAATATGAGAAGTTTGTTTTTTTCCTTAATAATTACTTTATGAAGAACTTTTGTTGTTCACCAAGGGCATTTGTTCCGTTTTAATTGACACCGACGAGATACTCTTAAAGACCGACACCCTTACGGGACTTAGCGTGGCAGCTGGTTTAGTAATTACTAAAATTTAAGCAATTAGTCAATATACTCAAATCATTATTTCAAATGTAAAATTAACGTTAAATAAATATTTATTAAATATTAAATAAACGTTTAAAAAATGTATACTCAAATTATTATTTCAAATGTAAAATTAACGTTAAATAAATATTTAAAAAATATTAAATAAACGTTTAAAAAATGTATACTCAAATCATTATTTCAAATGTAAAATTAACGTTAAATAAATATTTAAAAAATATTAAATAAACTTTTAAAAAATGTATACTCAAATCATTATTTCAAATGTAAAATTAACGTTAAAAAAATGTTTCAAAAATGTATACTCAAATCATTATTTCAAATGTAAAATTAATGTTAAAAAAATATTTAAAAATATTAAATAAACGTTTAAAAAACGTTTTTAGAAATCATTATTCTAAACAAATATTTAATAAAAAAAATATTAAATGTTAAATAAATATTTTTTCCAAAATGAGTTCAGGAAATAAAAAAAACCATTTAAAAAATATTGTGTGCTGATTGGGGAAAACTATAATAAATGAAGCTCAGAGTTTTAATAGATTTATATATAATCATACATTGTGGCACACAGAAAGTTACGAGAAACTCCGAAAACGACACAATATAGTACAGTCCAATTATCAAATGGTTCATTTATTACCGTACGAGCGATGTTTGCTATCCGAACTGAAGTTGATGATGAATTGCATATAATCACCGGAAACATTCTGCAACCTATTAATTATGATATATGTAAAACTAATTCTCCTATATTATCTTCGAGCAAATTCTTTATCATTGCTTCAATCACCACACAAATAGTTGCAATTTCTCCAGACATGCTATGTACAAAATGTATAAAAATTCCGTTTGAATGTCAACAAAGTAATCACTGCTGTATTGTGCGCCTTGTAAATGATATCGAGCGCGATTAATATGTTAAGTAAATAATAAAATAATAGTAATCAAAATGTATGAAATATATAATGTAATAAATTTATAATAATTCGAGAAAATAAATTTTTATTTATGTATGTGTGTATAATAAATATAAAATTCTTATATTTAACATTTTTATAATAATAACTACTTTTTAATATAATACTGAAAAATATTATTCCTGCATTTCTAAATAATAATATAAATACTAAAGCTCCACTAGTATATATGTACTTATAACTACATAACGATTTTTTATATATTTCTTACATAAACATTAAAATTATTGAAAATACGGTATATACGTTACTAAACACTTTAGAATACTGCGGTAGTTTTAAATACTATTACTACTAATAGTATTACTACTGCGGTAGTGCTGAACACTATAATTAGTGTCACAAAGTGTCACCAGTGTAATAATGAACAAAAGTAGTGTTTACTGCAGTATGACACAAGTAGTGTTAATGCAGTAGTATTGAACACTACTGGTACTACTTCTGGATTTAATAGTGTATACACTATTGCAGTAGCGGCTCTACTGGATCTAATAATGTACATTAGAAGTGACAATAGTGCAGTACTATTGAGCACTACTAGTAGCACTACTGGCTAAATAGTGACACTATTATATGTCAGTAGTGACACTATTGGATGTTAATAGTGCCACTACTGTACACTACTGTGCACTAGCAGTTTTTTTTCGTAAGAGTCACAGTAGTGTTCCCCTTTAATAACGTTAATCATATGTAAGTATTAAAAACGCAGTAGAGCCATTATAATAACAAGATTTAGATTTCTTACAATCTTGTTTCTCTTTATTGTCTCCTAAAACAAAAAGAAAACGATTTATCGGGTATCGAGGATTATATTTTTATTAAGAGGAAAAGAGAGAAAAGGATTACTCACTTTCTTTCTTTATCTCATCGATGACATCAGTAGTTGTTCCAAATGTGCCATATTCACTTAAACAACCTACTAAGGGTACTGTGTGGAATAATTTTTTGAATATTGATATTTCTGCATTTTTAATAAAATTTCTCTCATCTATTTCTGCACCTTCTTCAAACTCATTTTCTGAACAATCTTGAAACTCATCATATCGAAATGAGTTTGCGAAAACAAATCCTATGGAATGTTTCTTTAACTTCACTTTTTCCTTAAATAATTTTAATCTCTCGGATGTTTGCTTCCGTGTCATACATTCCTTTTCCAAAATTATGGACCATGTCTGTATAGGACCAGTAATTAGAACGGCGACACATTGTGATTTATACCTCTCAGAAGGTTTGATTTTCGTTTGTCCTTTGCACAAGTCTTTCACCTCACCACCCCATTAGAGACTACTTTATTTTCTTTACTGAGTATATGCAAAAAAGAAACAAATAATGTGTTATCGAGCATTAGCAGTTGCAGTACAACAGTTAGACATACCTACCAAATATTAAACTCGGATATTATTACATTATATATGTATTATTATTTTAATGAAGTATATATATTATACCTTTTCAGTATAGCTGAGGCCCACCGATCTGCTGTTGTATATCCCGCCTCATTACAAAATAACATAAAACATGTCTCGTGATTTAAGGAAGGTGTTTCACCTTCCTTAGGTGTTTCATTGTTAACAATTGTGCTAATTATCTCTTGATATTCGGCTGTTTCCGATATGATACAATTTTCTGGCAATTTGAACGATTTTACTCTCACGTTCGGAATTTGTGGCAAAAACGCACATAACATCTTTTCACTATGTTGATCTGGATATCGATCATCTTTATATTCATGTTCCTTAATAATACCATCATTATACAATTTTATAGTTTCACAATTTTCAAGTACCTTATATTCTTGAAAAGAGAGAAAAATTATTTTAATAATCTTACATTATTCTGTGACTTATAGTTTGATGGAAAAATGAATAAAAGAACTAGTATTAAAATATAAAAAAAATAGTTTGTTATAAATTAGAATAAAGTATTTACATACTTGCTACTGTTAAGGAGCTTTTTATTCATCTGATACTTATTTGTAACATAGAGAATATAAAAAAATATAAAATATATACCTTCGCTATTTGCAGCATTTTTATCAACAAAAAATAAACATACTGATGGTTTAATTCTTATGTTCCTGATGTTCTCTATAAAATCAGACGTCCAATTTTCTAACCTGACATTAGGAAAATTAGGCGATTGGTATATTGTACAACTATGTGTTTCTACAATGTAACAAGGATCTCTTGTCTTGTTCTCATTATTCGCAGCTTCCTCCCAGGATCTGAAAAATATTGTATACACAAATTTATGCTGCTTACTTTGTCACGTACTTTTCATTCGCAATAGAACAATGTTAAATATATTACTAGTTAATAGTTTTATTATAAGTAAATTTTTAAAGACATGATATGAAATATATGCCACAAGAAATTATTTGTAAATCAAATCTTATGTTCCTATCCATTTACATATACATGATAAAAAAAACTGTAACCATAGCATTCTGCTTGTAATAAATAAGTATTTAGAACTAAATCAAACATCTAATATAATGGATCAATACGTACCTACAAACCCTCGCAGCCTTCGCCAGATGCCTACCATATGGCAAATATTGAAATATATTTCTTAAAAGATAAGGACATAGAAGAACTTTCAAAACCTCGGATGTCATTTCATTATTTTGCATTGTACCATCATCGTTTTTGGACACGCGCCTAGATTTTTTCTTTGGCTCCTCCATCAATCTTTTTCACTTTAAACCAACCACTTGTCTCTCAAATCACACGATGGACGCGTTCGGGGCTTTCTACAATAAGCCATTAGTCACTAGTGTCACTACTCATATCATACTAGTGGCAGAGAGGATCCGAGAGCGGACATGCCGGCCTTTTGGCTGTAACGCTAAAATGCCCTTGCGCACTATCGCCCTCTGAAGAAGTGGATCCAAATTACATAGCAAAATCAAGATTTCTGCACAATTTTTGGTGCGTGTCCGTACTAAATCCACTTTTCGAG